TTCTTTCTTTTTCTCAAAATGTTATCATTTTATAAATTTTACTTACTTTTTCTTTCATTTTTTTCCTTCTTTTTATCGCTTTCTAATTGTTTCTTCCCATTCTTTCTTTTTTAGTTTTTTTTTTAAGTTTTTCCTCGTTTTTCTCACTTATTTCTCATCACTACCTCTTTTTATTTCTTTTTGTTTTCTTTCTTTTTTCGTTTAATCTTTTTTCTTCTGATTCATTTTCATTTTTAACACTTTTTTTCTTCCCGTTTTTCATTTTGTCATTCATTTTTCTTTTAATGTTTTTATTTTATTTTATTTATTTATTTATTTATTTTTTTGCTTCGGTTTCATTTTTCTTTCTTTTGTTTTTCCTTTTTCCTTATCTTTCATCTCCTCTTGATCTTTTAGCTTTGTTTCTTTGTTTTCTTCCATCTTTTCTTTCTTTAACGCTTCTTCATTTCTTCAGTCTCTTTCATTCATTATATTATTTTCAATCTTTATTGGCGGAGGTCGTGGAAACATTTTCGATTTGTCTAACATTTATTTCATTTTATCTGTTTTGTTTTTGATTTTCTCCTTCTTTCCGTCATTCATTCTATTTTCCCTATCACTTTCATTTTCATTTTCTCTTTCTTTCTTATTTTCTCTTTCTTTTTTTTCTTTCAACCTTTTTTCTTTCTTTCTTTCTTCAGGGGTCATTTTCTTCCTTTCTTTTGCATTACCTTTCTTTTTGATTTTCTCATTCTTTCCGTCAGTCATTCTATTTTTCCTATCACTTTCATTTTCATTTTCTCTTTCTTTCTTTTTTCTTTCTTTCTTTTTTCTTTCTTTCTTCAAGGGTCATTTTCTTGCTTTCTTTCCCATTTCCTTTCTTTTTGGTTCGCCCTTTCTTTCCGTCTTTCATTCTATTTTTCCTACAGTTTTCAGTTCATTTTCATTTTTCTTTCTTATTTTCTCTTTCTTTTTTCTTTATTTTCTTCAATTGTCATTGTCTTTCTTTCTTTCATTTCCTTTTCCTTTCTATTTTGGTTTTCTCTTTTTTTTTTTTCGTCTTTCGTTCTGTTTTCCTATAGATTTCAATTCATTTTCATTTTTCATTCTTTTTTCTCTTTCTTTCTTTTTTCTTTCTTTCGCCAGTTGTTATTTTCTTTCTTCATTTCCATTTCCTTTCTTTTTGATTTTCTCTTTCTTTCCGTCTTTCATTCTATTTTTCTTAACTCTTTCATTTCATTTTCATTTTTCTTTCTTATTTTCTCTTTCTTTCTTTTTTCTTTCTTTCTCTTTTTCTTTCTTTCTTCAGCTTAGCGTCCTGTAAATCCTATATCCAAATCATCGACACCCAGTAATTCACACTAATTCGACTGGATAGTTCCACTCAACAGTCACTCAATAATCACTCAATGATCACAGCAGTCAGTAGCCTGACACCGCTATTTATACACCTGCCGAAAAACATATATCCATACGTCCAGAGTGTCACGTTCGAACCTCGGTGTCGGCAGTTACTCATTTTCTTACTATATGACACATTTTTTTTCTCTAGTTGTTATTTTCTTTCTTTCTTTTCAATTTCCTTTCTTTTTGCTTTTCTCTTTCTTTCCGTCTTTCATTCTATTTTTCCTGTCGCTTTCATTTATTTTTTATTATTCTTATTTTCTCTTTCTTTCTTTTATGACGTATGATAGCCGTTAATAATTAAGTAATTATTTACCAGCTGCCTCACACAGCAAGATGTGGCACAAGGCCGAGTTTTAAAGTGAGGTATCCGAGCCCGTAGGCTCGGGCAAAAATTCCCTATAGACCACGTAAAAACGGAGTCAGTTGCCCGAGACGAGACTCTGCCCTTCGGCAGAACCTCGTCTGGAGGATACCCTCTGACATGTGCCAGGTAAGTATTAAGAAATTAATAATTAATTATTAAGTATGACTCAAGATTCAATGTTAAAATAAAACACGTATTTAATTACAACCGCCAATTAATACTTAACAAAAACAATAAAGTAAAAGTCAACCAAAGATAATTAACCATTTCAGTGTATTATTTTTTTAGTAGCGTGGCTCGGCTTAACGTAAGGTAAATTCAAAATCAAAACCCAACTGCACACTAATTCGACTGGATAGTTCCACTCAATAATCAATCAATAAACCCCTCCTTTCAGTAACATGATAACGCTATTGATACATCTATCGGAAAACATATATTCATAAGTCCAGAGTGCTACGATCGAATCTTGTCAAAAGTTAATCATTATTTTTTACTATATGACACTTTTTTTCTTTCTTTTTGTCATTTTCTGTCTTTATTTCCATTTTATTTTTTAGTTTTCTCTTTTATTTCAGTTTTTCATTCTATCTTCCCGATTACTTTCATTTTTCATTTTAATTTCTTATTTTTTCTTTCTTTATTTTATTCTTTTTTCTTCAGTTACCATTTTCTTTCGTTCTTTTCCATTTTCTTTCTTTTTCGTTTTCTCTTTCTTTCTGTCTTTCATTCTATTTTTACTTTCGCTTTCATTTCTTTGTCATTTTTCTTTCATATTTTCTCTTTCTTTCTTTCTTTCTTTCTTTCTTTCTTTCTCCAGTAGTCATTTTCTTTCTTTATTTACATTTTATTTCTTCTTGGTTTTCTCTTTGTTTCCGTTTTTCATTCTATTTTTCCTATCACTTTCATTTTTCTTTCATATTTTCTCTTTTTTTCCTTTCTTTCTACATTTGTCACCTTCTGTCTTTTCCTTTCTTTTTCATTTTCTCTTTCTTTGCGTCTTTCATTCTATTTTTGTTTCATTTCATTTTTCTTTCTTATTTTCTCTTTATTTCTTTCTTCAGTTGTCATTTTCTTTCTTTCTTTCTTTCTTTTCTATTTTCTTTCCCTCTTTCATTCTATTTTAATTATTGTCTTCATTTCATTTTCAATTTTCTTTCTTATTTTCTCTTTCTTTTTCCTTTCTTACTTCAATTAGCATTGTCTTTCTTTCTTCCTTTCTTTCTTTTCCTTTTCTTTTTTTTTTTTGCTTTCCTCTTTCTTTCCGTCTTTCATTCTATTTTTCCTTACGCTTTCATTTCATTTTTCATTTTTCTTCCTTATTTTTGCTTTTTTTCCCTTCTTTCTCCAGTTGTTATTTTTCTGTCTTTCTTTTCCATTTAGTTTCTTTGTTTCGTTTTTTATTCCCGTTACTTTCTTTTTTTCTTCCTTTTCCATTTCCTTTCATTCTTTCTTTCTTTCTTTCTTTCCGTTCGTTCTTTATATTCCATTCCCTTTCTTTCTTTCTTTCTTTCGCTGTTTCTTTCTTTGTATCTATTCTATTTCTTGCGTTCTTTCTTTCCATTATTTCCATCCTTTATTTCTTTTCCATTTCCCTTCTTCTTTTCTTTCTTTCTTTCTTTCTTTCTTTCTTTCTTTCTTTCTTTCTTTCTTCCTTTCTTTCCATTTCCTTTCGTTCTTTCATACTTTCAATTGTTTCTTTCTTTCTTTTTTCTCTCTCTTTCTTTTTCTTTCTTTCTTTCTTTCTTTCTTTCTTTCTTTCTTTCTTTCTTTCTTCCATTTCCTTTCGTTCTTTAATACTTTCAGTTGTTTCTTTCTTTCTTTTTTTTTCTCTTTTCTTTTTTTTCTTTTCTTTCTTCCTTTCCATTTCCTTTTCGTTCTTTCATACTTTCCGTTGTTTTCTTTCTTTTTCTCTCTTTTCTTTTTTTCTTTTCTTTCTTTTTTTTTCTTTCTTTCCATTTTTTCGTTCTTTCATACTTTCACTTGTTTCTTTCTTTCTTTTTTCTCTCTCTTTCTTTTTCTTTCTTTCTTTCTTTCTTTCTTTCCATTTCCTTTCGTTCTTTCATACTTTCCGTTGTTTCTTTTTTTCTCTCTCTCTCTTTCTTTTTCTTTCTTTTTTTCTTTCTTTCCATTTCTTTTCGTTCTTTCATACTTTCACTTGTTTTTTTCTTTCTTTTTTCTCTCTTTCTCTTTTTTTTCTTTCTTTCGTTCTTTCTTTCTTTCTTTCCATTTCCTTTCGTTCTTTCATACTTTCCGTTGTTTCTTTTTTTCTCTCTCTCTCTCTTTCTTTTTTTTCTTTCTTTCTTTCTTTCTGTCTTACCCGAAATTTTACACTCAATGATTCATTCTTTCTTTCCCATATTTTATTTCTTTTTCTTTCTTTTATTATTTTATTATTACCCCGCTTCTTTCTTTCTTTCTTTCTTTCTTTCTTTATTTCTTTCTTTCTTTCTTCTCACTTCCTAACATTGGCAACACTACACATTTTGCCGCCAAAAAATCAAACTGATGATGCGAAAAGAAAAACGTGACGCTGACAAATAAAACTTGTCATGTGATCGTCTTGTAAAATCCGGTTTCTTGTATGATTCGTCATTGCGTAAACACTCAACTAACACACCCACCGAAAGCTACAACTCACTTGCTAGAAAGTGTTTACTATGGCATCTGAAGTATCTGTGCCAACCACGCCTGATGACGGCCTTTATATAAGCACCATTATAGATGAAAATAGGAAAAGATCTCTATCAACGGCGACTGCCATAAATGTAGACACACATTTACCTACGTTATAGAAATGGTATAAGAATTTACTGTTAGGAGAGAATTCATTTATGTTAGTGTGGAAGACAAATATGAAATGATTATGACGAATACTAGTCACAACAGATCTACTTTCAACATGCGTAAAATTGACATACATAATAGTCATTTAGCTTAATTCAACTGAGTAACTTTATATATATATATATATATATATATATATATATATATATATATATATATATGGATGGATAGATAGATAGATAGATAGATAGATAGATAGATAGATAGAAGTACATGAATTTGTGTGTGTGTGTGTAAACGTGTGAGTGTTTATATGTGTCAGCAGTACAGCCGATGAATTTTTTTTTATCGTTGCTTGTGATGGCAAGTTTAAATTGAAGATATCGAGTTATACTTCGCAAAATTACCAAAAATTCACGGAGATTAATCTTCCAAAAATAATTTCACTGAGTAAACGTTTTTTTTAAAATTGATATGGAGAGTCAAAAGATAGATAGATAGATAGATAGATAGATAGATAGATAGATAGATAGATAGATAGATAGATAGATATGAAGAAATTGTGATAGATAGATAGATAGATAGATAGATAGATAGATAGATAGATAGATAGATATGAAAAGACAGTACTAGATATATAAGAAAAGACGGTAACAGATAGATACTTCGATAGATGAAGAAATACATAGATATAAACAGACTTATAGATAGATAGATAGATAGATAGATAGATATGAAAAGAAAAATAGACGGATATATAGATATGATCAGATAGATAGATAGATAGATAGATATGAACAGACAGTACAAGATATATAAGAAAAGATGGTAACTGATAGATACTTCGATAGATTAATAAATACATAGATATAAACAGACTGATAGATAGATAGATAGATAGATAGATAGATAGATAGATAGATAGATATGAAAAGAAAAATAGACGGATATATAGATATGATCAGACTGATAGATAGATAGATAGATAGATAGATAGATAGATAGATAGATAGATAGATAGATATGAACAGACAGTACTAGATATATAAGAAAAGACGGTAACTGATAGATACTTCGATAGATTAAGAAATACATAGATATAAACAGACTGATAGATAGATAGATAGATAGATAGATAGATAGATAGATAGATATGAAAAGAAAAATAGACGGATATATCGATATGAGCAGCCGGATAGATAGATAGATAGATAGATAGATAGATAGAATGAATGAATGAATATGAACAGACAGTACTAGATATATAAAAAAAAGGGTAACAGATAGATACTTCGATAGATGAAGAAATACATAGATATAAACAGACTGATAGATAGATAGATAGATAGATAGATAGATAGATAGATAGATATGAAGAAATTGTAATAGATAGATAGATAGATAGATAGATAGATAGATAGATAGATATGAACAGACAGTACTAGATATATAAGAAAAGAGGGTAACAGATAGATACTTCGATAGATTAAGAAATACATAGATATAAACAGACTTATAGATAGATAGATAGATAGATAGATAGATAGATAGATAGATAGATAGATATGAAGAAATTGTAATAGATAGATAGATAGATAGATAGATATGAACAGACAGTACTAGATAGATAAGAAAAGACGGTAACAGATAAATACTTCGATAGATTAAGAAATACATAGATATAAACTGACTTATAGATAGATAGATAGATAGATAGATAGATAGATATGAAGAAATTGTAATAGATAGATAGATAGATAGATAGATAGATAGATATGAACAGACAGTACTAGATAGATAAGAAAAGACGGTAACAGATAGATACTTCGATAGATTAAGAAATACATAGATATAAACAGACTTATAGATAGATAGATAGATAGATATGAAGAAATTGTAATAGATAGTTAGATAGATAGATAGATAGATATGAACAGACGCTTATAGATATTTACGTAAACTTTGTTTTTAGTTATGGTTTAAAAGTTAATCTATTTTCTCATTACTTCTAAGTAATGAGTTCGTGCCTTACTTCTTCTTCCATTCCACGCAGGTTGTCTTTTACCAGAACTAAGCTAAGCTTAGTAAACAACAGGGGCAAGGTCATGGGTTAGCATTAATGGTTAACGAGCTAATTGCTTTGACCCGTACTTCTTATTATTGTGACTAATCACAGCTTAGTCTATAATATAATGGTGCCTTGTGTTAGGTCAATTTAAGTTGCGAAAATGACTACTCTCCACAAACATAGGACAATTTGGCACTAACATTCGGCGATTGCGACCCCATAATGTTGTCATATATAATCATATGTACATAACAATAGTTTCAAATATATAAGAATTATCATAAAACTAAATTAGAATTATATTATTCTATGTTTAAAGCCCTTTTTGATAAGTGTTATCAACATGATTGGGGAGACGAATCTGTTGGAAAACGTCGGTGTTTGTGCTACCGCGAATTCAGAAGTCATCGTGGCCGAGGCTTTGAGCATACTGGCCTTGTTCAAATGTATCTGTCTATATTTCTGAAATGAGGTATCATGTACACTATTTACATTGTTCGGACTATCGTCCTCATGTTTGTTGCCAAATTTATCACAACGTTTCGGCTGTTGTATGCTCCGGCCTTATTCTGTTAATTTCCCTCACCAAGTTCTCCACTGCCTTAACCAGGTATTGAACTCACACTCTTTAGGTCCTGTCACTGGATCTAACTAACGCTTTTATCCACTGTGCCATGTGCCTTCGAGGACACATCGCACAGTGGATAAAGGCGAATTAACAGGAGATAACTAATAACTGACATCCATTAGACATGGCACGTGGAACTAGAACAGTCTACCCTTAGTGAGCGAAATAAAGTGTTCACTTCGACATTCCAACCACCTGAAGAAGACCGAAGCGTACAACGGCCGAAACGTAGTGATAAATATGGCAACAAAGATGAGGAAGATAGCCCGAACAATGTAAATAGTGAACACTGGCCGAAATGAAATTGGAGAGATACAATTTATAAGGTTTGATTACCAAACAAGAGGTGCGTATTATGCGTGAGTAGAAGTATTTTCTCACACTTTCAGCACATTTTTAGAGGTGAGTATTATAAATGAAGGCGTATTATACATGGGGAATTACGGTAGCTATTAACATATCCCTTGAGAGAGCTGAGAATATGACGTCATATATACTTCAAAATCCCGAGGGTGATCTAAAATGTTAACTAGGCGAACTGTAAAGGAGCGATGCTAGAACTGTGAAATCTCCCATGCATTAATTTCAACTCCTCTTATTAATAACTGCATTGTTTGTTTCCAGGTAAATTGACATCTGGCTGCATGCAAGGTTTCACAGCTCTAGCATCACTCCTTCAGCGTCAGCCTAATGACTTTCTAGCCCATGCTCGTGTGTTTCCATCCATTGTCCAACATAAAGAATCTTCCTGCATGACACCATTCCATTTCAATGCCAAACCTGGTCTGTTAGATTCTGCAACCGATGTCTTCACTGTAACAGGTGTCATTTCTGTGTGATACAACCTTTGATTTGAGCTTAACGGTTTTTTATTCAGAGTTATTCTACCACGAGTAGAGAGCCTAGTCCTCCATTATATTTGAGCCTTAGAGGAGGGAAAGAGTTCAGTCTGCCCTGTTATTTAATCCATACAGGGGGGTAAGAGCCCAGTCGAAATTGCTATTTAACCCACAGCTGGTGTGAGAAGAGATGGATTCGTATTTTTGTCATGCGTATTTACGTGTAGGTAATTGTAACAAAACTCGACCGGAATTCGAACTCGGCGCTCCGATTTCTCGTTTCGAGCCACTATTCATTACACAATACGTACCTCCTAAATATATCTGAGTTACTATGTCGTCGATTACGAAAAATGGATAGAAAGCCAAAAAATAAATAAGAATCCGAAAGAAATATGCCGACCAGATTGAAATAGAAATGACGAATATAGAACAGCAGGAAGAATCATTGGAAGAATCATATTTTTTTTGCCTTCCAACTGTATGGCTGATGCTAACCACCAGCAGAGCATTTCGTTGGGATTTTTTGGTCGTGTGTTTCCCACTGACATCATTATATTGAAGCAATTGCTAAGCATGACGCTTGGAAAGTCGATTCCCTATATCATACCAAACAATATTTTTTTCACCAGTATATATCTTGCCCATTGATAAGCCTACCGTTCGTCCACGCATTGAATATTGCTGTAACGTCTGCTCTTGTGCATCTGTTATGTACTTAGAAATTCTTGAATAACTTCAAAGAGGAATCGGCAACGTTCTCAGTCCTGACCTGGCATCTCGGCTTCAGTCACTTTATTCCCGCCGTAACATCTTCTCTTCGTCTCTTCCATAAACATTTCCACAGTAATCGTTCTTGTGAGCTTACCGCGTTGTTACATCGATTTCACGAATTTAACAGCAATATTAGAATCCATCTGTTGCCGCCCTAGCTATGGGTTAAATAACATGACAGATTAAATCCTATAGATTTGGTTGGCAACCAGTCTATCGCAGAAAAAAAATGCAGCTTATTGCGAGAAAACCTTCTGCCTAGTCAGTCATGAATCGAAAGAGACATGATCGCGTATATCACGTAAGGTACTCACCGGACTGACTAGATTGGCAGTTAGGTCTCATAATTCCATTGTCGAAATTGCTTGTGGAAACCCTAAGTTCTATGCTATCTCTTCTGCCTCACTTCTTGATTGTGTAATTCATCCTGCTTCCTTCTTTCCTGTAATCTACGATCTTCAAAAATTTGAACGCATTGACAATTGTCATCTTCTGTCTCCATGAATCCAAAACATTATTGTACTCTCTCTCTCTTTACAGTCATATTTACACTGTAACAGCAGCAAGAATACTGGCGCAAACAAACACACGTGACCGCAATAGTATCAAATATAAGCAGGCATGTGCAGAAGGCAGTGAGACAAACTTAAAGGTATGTTATGGCCAAAGCGAGGATAACATTTTAATTATCCTTGTATGTATATATATATATATATATATATATATATATATATATATTGCGTATATTTTGGTAGCATGTTTTCATTAGCGCATGTCTCATTAAGTAATTTAGACAAGATTTGTCTACTTATTTTTAATAGGATCATCTCGTAATTACGAACTAGTTTCTTAGTATCCTTATTAAAGAAAGAACGAAAATTATCATCTTGATGCATATTCATTTTATACCGTGTACTTTCGACATTAGCACAATGTCGTCATCAGGGTCTTGCTTTTTCTAAGACAAAAAATTGTTGTGTTCATCATTTTTCTAAGACAAAATTGTTGTGTTCATGTGAAAATTGAATTTTTACGTGTGAAGTGAAAAACACTAAGGTTATGTACTGTACAATTTTTAAATGTTATCATTTTAAATGTTTTATTATATATATATATATATATATATATATATATATATATATATATATATATATATATATATATATTGTTCAGAATAATAAAACATTTAAAAAATGTTCTGAACGATATATATATATATATATATATATATAGTTCAGAATAATAAAACATTTAAAATGTTCTGAACCATATATATATATATATATATATATATATATATATATATATATATATATATATAGTTCAGAATAATAAAACATTTAAAAAATGATAACATTTAAAAATTGTACAATGACAAATTAATAAAAGACTCTTTTTTTTTCTCAAGTTACAAAAGAAAGACAAAACTGTATATGAGGAAAATTATTTGTGATTAAATGTGGACCGTAAATCAATATATATATATATATATATATATATATATATATATATATATATATATATATATATATATATATATATATACACAGGTATATAGCTATATTAGTGCCGTTTGGTGTCTGTTGATTTATAAATCACTCATTTTTATATAATTTTTTTAATAATATGAAATCCAAAATTAATATGAACTTTACCGATAAGACAAAACAACTAATTCAGAAATTTGGACAGTAGGGTCGATCCCAGCGTGAGGTACCTTTGGAAAGTGCCTGAAAATCATACCACGGGTTGACCAAAGCCTTGTGAGTGAAATTGGGTAGACGGAACCCTTAATCTCGCTAGATAACCGCTCTTTCCCAGAAGCTGTAGTTAAGGTACATATATATGTTAATATATTTATTGTTTATACGTTATTTTTACAGATACCAATATTCAAGTAAATGCTCTGTTTGTAATAAACTGCATAGTTGGAGAATAATCCACAGGAATAAACATAAAATGCGCCTAAGCAAGCATCTGCAATAGAGATTGGCTTGCCGCCCTTGTGTACGGGTATCCTCGAATACGATTGGCCAGCTATACTACACATATTTCTCCTAGACTAGCTACCATCCAGTGTTAAAGAACACAGTCTATTTAAATCGTAGCTGGATGGGGAATAGCTAGATTCATGCCTTCCGCAAAGAAATTTGAACTCGTTTTGTGGGTTTTACTTTCAGGGCGGCCATTGCTCACCATTTTACTGATTATAAGCTTACGGCAAGGGGTATTACTAAGTAGTGCTTAGATTAGTTGTTGCTTAAATTTGCTGACCGTACGTGAAACATTGTATGCAACTCTTTCAGGCTGTAAGCTATTGACAAATACTTAATTCACAACCGGATAGTTGTCATTCATTCGAGATTTGTTTTTTAATGTGTCTTCTTTCTTTCTTTCTTTCTTTCTTTCTTTCTTTTTTTTTCAGTCAATGTATTAAAAATACTTAACAGTAAAAGGAAAAACAATTTCGCCTTTTCCTTTCTTTGTATGGAAAATTCCATCTGTCCGAGTATTCTTTCCTTTACAGAGAACAAAACGCTTCCATGCAATATGCACTTATATATACATATATATATATATATATATATATATATATATATATATATATATACGTTAATATATTTATTGTTT